TGGAAGAGCCCCTTCCCCACACTGGCCACTGGCTGTTCCCTCCCCCCAGCCTGGCAGCAGGTAGAGCAGCAGCTGGACGGCAGCCGGAGCGAGGAGAGCGCCCGCGGCCCCGTGCAGTACGTAGAGAAATCCCCCAACCCCGGACTGAAAAGTAAGTGGGGAGCAGTCGTGGCCCTCAGGGGTGCATTGTGGTGGTGGGTGTGATGAGCTGGTGTGGGCTCAGCCAGGCACCCAAGCAGTCCTGTGATGGGAGGAGGAGGAGGATCCTGGTGCTGGATACGCCAGAGGGGCTGGGTCTGTCCTGCTGGTGCTGAGGCCACTCAGGGAGGTGCTGGGAGGGCAGCTGGCATTCTGCTGGGGATGTCCCATTATTCCCTGTTGGAGGAGCCCCAGCAAGCAGGATGCCTGGTTGATGTATCTTCTGGGAATTGTGCCTTTTCCAGCCACCAAGGTGGGTTTGATGTGTTGCTGGAGAGGAGCCCCCAGGTCCTGCGGTGGGAACCTGCCTCTCCCAAGGCCAGGCAGGACCAAGCACAGCAGGGCTGGGGACAATGTGCTTCTCTGATGGCAGCTGGAGAAGGGCTGAGGAGCCCCTGAGAAGAGAAGGTCCCTGTAAACCCAGCCTGACCTTTTGGGGGCAGCACACAGGGGTGGGGGGAGTCTGGGGGGTGTCATTCTTGGTGTGTGTCAGGAGGAGCAGCTGCAGCTCAGAGCTGTGCTCCAGCTGCTCTGCTATGCTCTCCTCTCTCCCTTCTCTTTCAGACTTCGTTCCCATCGACCTGGAGGAGTGGTGGGCACAGCAATTTCTGGCCAAAATTGAAAACGGCTCCTAAAAGGGAAGAAAGGTTTGGGTGGTTTGTTTGGGGCTGTTTTTTTTTTTTTTTTTTTTTTGTTTTTTCCTTTTGTAAGAGAAGCAAAGCTGAGAGCATCTGGTCCAGCCCCCAGCCCTGCTGGGGGGTTTCAGAGCCATGTTTTTAAAAGATGACTGAGATGAAGGGAGCCAGGCTGCCAGCCCCGCGGGACCACAGCCATGCCCAGCCCCTGTCCTGCTCCCGGCCTGGAGGAGCAGCCTGTGGCCCCGGCCAGGATTCCTTAAGTGCCAGTTCTTGGACCTCTGCAGCTCCTGTGGCCTCCAGCTTCCAGGGACATTGCGGTGCCGTGCTGGGGAGGAGGGAGCAGATCCACCCCGTGGCCACGGGGAGGAGGACAGCGAGGTGCTGCAGCAGGACGGCCACACAATAAAGCGCTGAAACTGCCCGTGGAGAGGAGCTTGTGGGCTGGGAGGGTGTGTTTGCAGGAGGGGGGGCAGCAGCGTGCTCTGCTGGGGAGTTGGGGCATCCCTGTGCAGCGGTGGGGGTGCTGGGAGCTGAGTCCTGGCCGAGCAGTTGTGGTGGAAAAGGGCTTGGACCATCTCCTGCATCCTTGGAGCATCCTTGGCCCCAGGGTGCTCATCACCCTGGGGTATGGTTGGGAGTGTGGGGGTGATGTGGGGCTGAGCACCCTGGCTGTGGTTCAGAGCCAGGGTGTAGGTGGGTGAAGCTGCAGGAATGAGGGTACCAGAGGCAGCCCCCAACTGATGGTGCTCTGACAAAAGACAAGTTCAAGGTCTCCCCGTATCTGATGAGGAGCTACAAGAGGGTGGTTGTGGCTGCCTGTGGGAGATGGGATGGGGACACCTGCTCCACTTCTGCTCCAGGAGGGACCTGGCACACAAAGTTCCCCTCAGCCCCTGGGCTTTTCTAGGCTGGACTGAGCCCTTCCAGAAGTCATGTTCTGGAGGACACCAACCCCTGGCCCCAGATCCTTTCCCCAAGGCACAGGCTGGGCAGCCCAAGCCCACCAGGGCTGGAGCTGCTCTCTGACTCCAGTGGAGATCAGGAAACAACCACTGGGGGGAAAAAAAAATAAATATTTTTATGATGGGAATAACAGCCACTGTGCAGCCAGAGGGGAGAAGCAGCTGCCTGGGACTTGTGTTGCTTCTCCCCTCAGAGTGCTGCTGTCAGCAATAACTGACCCCTGGGCAGCAGAGTCTGTCTGTCTGGTGGGCAATCCCAGTCCTGCCTGCTGCCCTGGGCTGCTGCAGCCTGGCCCCAGACCCCCCTGCCCCTGCCGTGGAGGTCATGGGCACTGCAAGGGTCACCCTGCTGCTGTGCCACCTCCTCCCCAAGACCAAGTCTTGTAGGGGGTCACCAGGACCTCCCCCCACCCCGGGACACGTGCTGGGGGTTTTGGCTGTCCTGCCTGGGACCACTATGCTTGGTTGCCAGTCGGTGGCAATTTAGCATCTCACCCTCCTGCAACCTTTCTGCTCTCCCACTGCTCCCCAGCCCAAGCTCTGCTGCCTCCTGCCATAACTCGCCTGCCAA